AAATAAATAAGCACAAGCCTCAGATGTTTAAAATAACTATAACAACCAAGAATTTCCTAATCTCTCAAATTATCTAAAAGAAAATTCAAAACACATTTCAGTTAAATTTACGGAGGACAAATCGTAATTCTCCCATTTAGCCTTTTCAGTTATTTACAGAAGTAATACGTATGTGACAGGCAAAAAGTTGTTTTTTGGATTTAATGAAAATGATAGGTTTGAAGTGTGCAAAGTTCAGAGTCCCTTCGGTTTAACAGGAAAGACAGTTGCTGAATCAAATAACTAGCTTAGCTTTGTAAAATTAACAGCATTACGTTTTCTGGTCATTATGTATTGGTGTTGACTGATTTCCAAAATCACTAAAAATTAACTAGCAGATCTCGTCGGCAACTGTATTTTTTCTATGATAGCTTTGGTTAAAACATCATATAAATGGACATGCTATATTGAGAAATTTAAAATTTCTCTCTGATTATTATAATAGGCCTCACACTTGTGCGACTATCTTTATAAATTTATCTTAGGCATAACCTTAACTTGTCCATAATCTGCTTGCCTTCCTATTTGACTCAAGTCTGGACAAATAAGATTAATGCTTCTGACACAGTAGCAATTTGTTATTTATACTATCTCCCCACAAGATTTAACCTCTTTTTAACAGTGCTGTCTGCTCATGAGACAAAACCATTTCTCTACTCTCTCACCACAAAACTTTACCAGTATGTTCCTAAACCAGTATAGACAGCACTTGTAGAGTGTTGAACTGTTTTATAGAGGACTCAAACTGTAGACAGCTGGACCTTATTCCTCTTAAAACCATGTGTGAATGGTACTTGTCTCTGGTTTGTCCCTATAATGCTCCCTAGTGGTCTAACCAATGTTGACATTTCAGATTCAACTGCTCCTTTACTCAGGGTATAGCAGTTATGCCAATATGGGCTATGCTTAGCTCTTGAATAATACCTTCACTGCTCTATTTAGTGAGACGTTAATGTTTGACTTCTACCTTGGAAAAGAATACTAGAGTTGACGGACCAGCTTAGCCACATGTACTGTACTAATTTTCTTTCCTTTGAATGGGACGAAGAATTAGGAGGAGACCTGAGTGAAAAATGATCAAATACACTGATGAAACAGCAAGCTAAGAGGTGCACAGACTGTTTAGACCAGCTCAGTATATGAGAATTTCAGCCATCATTATTCTTCCATCCTAAAGAGCTGAAGAAGCCAGAGTGTCACAGGGGGAACTACACCTTACTGTAGGCCAAACCTTCTGAAGCTCAGGCTACTCTGAGCCCTGAAGAGATCAACTGGAAATTTAGAGTAAAGAGCTGTGTTTTACATGTAAGAGAAAATGTATTTCCTTTTTGTATCCATCCAGCTGAGACTGTATCTTACAGTTGCATAGTCTAATCTAGAGAATTGGTTGGCATCGGTTTTAGAGATCAGAGTTCTGCAGAGAGTTTCTTGTTGTGTAGAAACCATCATTAAGTCTGTAAACAACTGTGTCTTGGTGAAAACATAGTTTTTTAATTATTGCAAATAAATTTATGTTTATTGTTTATCTTTTCTCTGAAATCATGAGAGCCCCTTGACCACATTTATCTTTCCCTCACTGTAGGTTTAGTATCTTTTATAAACGTGGTTGTTAAGTAACACATACTGAGCAGCGTCCTGAAAGCGTCTCAGGGTGCTTTAAGTTGCATGATTAAATCATATGTGCCTGACTTTTGTGCATGTTTACACTGCCATGTCCTACTGAGGCAGTTTCTGTTCTGTTACTGATTGTTCTCCGTTTTGCCTTTTGTGTAACATTGGTGTCAGCATCGTCAGAGCCTCATAGTGAATAAGAATCTGTTCACCACTGATAATTTGTTTAAATTTAGAAGTATGGTGAGTGAAAATATTTCTTGAACAATAGTTTTACATATTACACAAAACACCTTGTTGGGAATGGGGCAATGTTTATTCAGATCCTGCTAAATCCTAAAATGGCACCTTAACTTTTAATATCCAAAGGGTTTATTTTGTCCACATTGTGACAAAACAGCACAGCACCCAATGATCATCTGTACACTCCAAAATCTAAAGATTGTTTAGCCCTCCAAGTACAAAGGTATACCAAATTAAAATTAATAAAAATATTAATTAAACAACAACTTTTAATATGACATCACATAAAACATATTTTTGTCTACAATATTTGTTTTCCAGTTAGTCTGTTTTCTGGGAAGGATTATATATTTTAAAGGCTTCAATTTCCATGTAAGTAGTCTGTTCATCTTGACATCATGCTATTAATCCATTAATCCCTTAAGGCTTGAACTGATCTCAGTTTTTGCCTCTAGCATAATGTTAAGAGAGTCATCCTTTGAATAGAGCATTACATAGTACTTAACACATATTAAAAAAAAGAACTGAGGTGTACTTGGTTGACTCCAGAGATCTAAATTATGTGAAAACAGGACTTTTGCGAAGGAACATTTCACTAACATTCAAAACATGAGATAATAAAAGGTTTCGCTAAAGGGAGGGATTTACATAAATAGGTAAAAACATTACATACCTGTACACAGATTCTTTTCATGGGCTATTATTGGCTCACTCTATGATTAGCCTACTATTGTATTGGTTTCTTCAATCTATGCATGTTGCAAATAAAAAAACAGCACAATTATTGACTTCACTGGCATAAATCTGTGTATGGTGACGCACACTATAAACCACAATAGACTATGTTTCGCTCATTTTTCATAGTAAATATAATGTTATTTATGTTTTGTATAGTGGTGTGTTGACTGTATAACAATGAACCCCTTTTCAGGTTAAAGGGCCACAATCATAATATTATTATACTATTATAGGTATGAATCTTAGGTGTTTCTCAAATGATAATGCTACAAATCACAGAAATGTCTATTTTGCCATTTATGCCATATAATATCATGTTTCTGAATACCCTGCTTCTGTCTTCTGTAGATCTAGATTAATCTCCTGTAGCATTGCGACAAAGTACTGGACAAAGATATAATTATTCACATTAAGAACCATGTTATGTTGTCTTCTTTCAAACCATTCTACATCACTCTGCACTGAGTCTGCTAAACTGACTGGGAAACATTTGCAGGTTAAGATGGACTTCGTTTTTGGGGAAATTAGATTTCAATATGCTCAGGCAGGAAGCCCATGTGAAAAGAGGAGGATTTCACAACCGAGTAGCAGGCGAAGGTATCAGTTTTCCAGATACCTAGAGTTTAGCCTATGAGAGAAGAAAAGTGTTAGGCCGACATTTTGTCTGTTTTGCTTTGAAGTTGTACCAATTTTGACTGAGTTGTGACCGTTTTCTAAATTTAATTTATAAATATACTTGAACTAGAATGCACAGAACAAGCTCGTCATAGGTTCACTTCACAGAGTTTGACGCATCTGTTACATACTCTTATGAGGTCAGAAGATGCTGAGCCGGGAAGAGTTTTATCATGTTCAATTTGTTTACAGTGCTTTTTTGATTTTGCCTCTCAGAATGCAAAACTTCATATCCATATAGTCTGGTCTTAAGCCTTTTCACTATTTTAATAACCACATTCTAGTTAAAATTCATTTCCACCCTATAATGTAATGGTTATGTAGAGTACACCAGTACACATCAGAATTCAATTTTTAAGCTTTCATTCCACTGGATTCAATAATTCCATACTGTATAATGCAGACAAGAAATAGTAAATGGAATGGTGGATGAATGATAAACGTACTGTAACTCAGCAGTACAGTACGTTTACTAATTTGCACTCCAATGCTGTCTAGTAACAGAGGTTGGGGAACCCAGAACCAAAATATAATAAGGATTTTCTACAGCAATGTGTCTGGCTTTGGGGCCAATTCTTCAGCAGGCACAAAGTTTGTATTTCGGAATATTTATCAGAATGTTGAATATCGGAATAATTTCAATATTTTGTTTGGCTGAATAGGAAGTTGTGCTACACTACCTAAGATTCTTTAGTTCTTATTCTAAGTCAATATTGTTATTGTTTTAGATGTATTATTATTTATTTATAGTTTTCTTTCTAGATTATTCACAGGTTTCTCCTCGTAAAAAAGCTGTGTTGAAAATCTCCTTAGAGAACTCATGAAGAAATATCCATAAACCTAATTATCTACACTTCAATGCTTTTCGAATCATTTTATAAAACAGAGGGTTTTAGTGTTTAAAATAGAATTTAATTCACCCCATTTCCAACACTCCTGCAAAAAGAAGTGTCATCTTGACAAAAAAAATGACATTCATCCAGATTGCCTATAAAAATTCAGAGGAGTGCTGATTACGGGTGATACTTTAAAAAAAAAAAACAACGTATTGCAGTTCTTTAACTGCAATTATAAAATGTTGTCAGACAGCTACTTCAGCACAGAAGAATGCTGTTGGGAGTGTGATATGTGTGCCAACAACCTCCATACAATAGTCCATCAGTCTCTCCAAGGGCTCCAAGAAAAATATGCGCTGTGAATATCCATTAAAATCATACAAAATTTTAGTTTCGTAACTGACTATATCCTTAGTAGCTAAAGAACACGTCGGTCGTATTACATTTGCTGTATACAATACTGACATAACGTATTTTGTATTCAAGACAAAGAAAACATAAACAACACTGACAACACACATTGAGAACAAAAGACAGAAATGCATAAGCCATAACTCTAGGGTAGGTCCGCGTGCAGGGGTTCAGCTGCAGATAACGACTTTAACTGCGTGTAATTAGGAGATTAATTTTAAAATGTTGACGAATGAGCTGAGCTATTTAAAAAATAAAATGAAATAACGGCAGTTATGTAAACATTCCTTGTTACGGATCGTATTACTACCGCAAATGAGCGCACGGTGTTTTATCAGTTTCTGTTGCTGTTTTAATTGTGAAATGATGACATCCTGTTGACGTAATAATACAAATTATTCTTTCATTGTCACATCAATCCAAACCAACAAACTTAATAAAAACAATAGTAGCATTTCACTTAATATGAAACCACGTTAGGAAGAACGCTGCAAGTAAACGCCTGTAACACCGTATTATCTGAACGAGAGAGGCTTTGAAATAGGCAAGTTCCACTTCATTAATTTGTATACTTAAAAATGAAGACCTTAGACTGTTAATCTCGCTGTAATTTATGCCTGAATGAAGGAATGGGACAAACATTTAAACAAATTTGCTGCTCAAAATAGGACAAGGGTCTTTATAAGGCATCTGTGGTAGAGATTACTTCTTCTGGTCCCGTTTTTAAAAAGATGGAAGTTAAGGAACGCTGAGATTTTCTGAAAAAAAAGTTTTAATCCTTCATAGCTATATTAACAGTTTCAGAAGTTGAAGAAATTGATAATCACTTTCGAACTGCACGCGTAAAAGGATAAAAATGAGCAAAGTAAGCAGCTTTTTAGACTAAAAGACTGATATTGTATGATATTGTACATAATCGATAAAACGTGAATTGAATTGAATGGCATATTAAATAAGGAAAACAACATTGTAAATGTTAACATTTTACATAACATTTTTTGGGTAAAGCAGGTTTGTGGGAACATAGGATTTCTTACTATTGTTATATATAAAATGATAGTTTAGATTATATTTGTGTGTACATTTACAGTATACACGTGTGTCTTGGTTCCTTATTTTCAGTACCTCATCACCTCCAGTACTTTTATCAGGAGATGCCTGACTACAAGCAGAAATGTCAGTGCTAACATTCCTTCTCTCTTAGTATTTGTACAACTGGAATGAAGTAACATTATGAGATTGCATGAGAATACATGATTATCATAGATCTGTTACCTTTCTGTCCTGTATGTCCATATTGCAACATGGTGGTGCTGACTACTGCTTTGAATCGCACATCATATGAAACAACCTTGTTACACATATAAGTAATGCAGTACGTATTAAAGCTAAAGTTTTCAAGACAACATAAAAAATTACAAGAAAAAAGTGAAAACATTATGGAAAGCTGCATAATTTTATATCAGATTTCACCCTAGCTCACAGACTATATAATGCTAAAGTCTCAAGTAAACAGAGGTCTTAGAGGCTTGTAAGTGTCATATCTCAGAAACCAAAGGAGCTTTTTTTTTACAGAAGAAAGATGAGTTGGGAGCTGTTTGGAGGGGTGCAAACGTCATGGGCTGATTCACGTCATTCCCCTGAAAGGAATTCCTAATATTTTAAAATCTTAAGCAGTACAAACTCTCATAAAGGAATGAGATCAGTTTGGTTTTCTTGCAGTCTTCTAAGAGTGTGGGAGATGTCACTGTCTGACAGAGTATGTAATATCTCAGAAACTAAAGTAGCCCAAATGCTACTTTAACTGGCACAAACCAACACAACTGTAGCACAAGTGAGTGATTACGATGAAATTGTTTGCGCTAGCTGTAGGGCGGGCAACTTCATGGGCTGAGTGACATCACTCCTGAAAAAAGAATGTCTTGTATCTCAGAAAGCAAAGCATACAAATGCTACATTTTATGGCTGAAGCCAGCACAAATGTAACACAAAATAATGAGACCAGTTTGATTCTCCTGCACCGATGTAGGAGGGTTAAGTGATGTCACTACCTGAAAAAAATAATGTGTTATATCTCAAAAATAAAAACTTTATAACGGGAGGCTAACCTCACGGATCTGTCTATATGCAACTCATCTTTCATGTAGGCTACACTAAAACAAGTGCTTGTGTAAAAAAGAGGGTGCTCATTTCTACTGGAAATACATTGTGGTTGTGCGCTGTAACTAATTTCTTCAGTAAGAACATAATAAAGCTGAAAACCAATCTGAGGCCATCTGCCCCATGTGGCTATCTGATTTTTTAAAGGTCTTGTCCAGCCATTTCTCGAAAGAAGCCAGGGTATGGGCTTCAAATACATGTAAGAGTAGCTTGTTCCATACTCTCACGATCTGAGTATTTCACCATGGTAAGTTCCAGCACAAGGTATCTAACAGACTGACAGACCAGAGAGGTGCCTTCTGAATGGTTATTGCTCGGGATCACATGTTTTCAATTGAGTTTTTACAAAATTTCATTTTGATAACTATTTTGTCAGAAAAAGATCCAGCCCTACCTATGGAGGCCAAGACATTTGCAGTGGTCATTAATGACATTTTAAGGTCAGCATGGGACCTACATGTGATTTGTATCATGTTAGATATTCTAACATCCTGTAAGATGGGTTCTAGAACCTCTCTGGAAATAATATTGATTTCTGAACTTTTGACTTTATTCGATATTGCAGATAAGAAGATGCCAGTTTAGCACATCAGTCCAGAGCCACAAATGTCTCAAGAATCGGTGCAGACTAGTGATGGAGGGGAACAAAATGCTACTCTTTCATCTGGGTTAAGACTTACTGTGGAAAATGTGAAGAGGCTGGAGCAGCAGTTTGAGGAAGATCAGCAGGACAGTGCTTTGGAGAGAATGGAGCGGTACGTCAAGGAGGCTAAACGCTATTGCCCACAGCAAAAGTCCATGGAGAGCTGGAGGGCCAATGGCCCAGCAGTCAATGCGAACCAGTTAGGTGATGGCTCTACAGCTGTTCTGGTCCCAGGGGCTGCTGGGAAACCAGCCGGGCAAGCAGAAAGTTCTGACTATGTGCTGTGTAAGTTACTCCTCAGAATGATGCCGCTTTTATGACATTATGTTGCGTCCTTTTGTCGTTGTCTGTTAATCTTCTAAGCCTAATAGTTTTGCAACTGTTTCCAAAAGAGGGTAACTGTGATGAGGTTGTGTGGAGAAGTAGGTAGGGTTCTGGACTCACTTCTGGGTGCTTGTGGGTTCAAATCCCAGCTCACTGCAGCTGGCATATGTATGAGTAAGGTCCTCAAAATGTACTGGTAGAAAACAGTAGCAGAATGAGAGCAAAATGCTAAAAACATCAGCCTTGGAATTAATAACACCACATTAAATTAAAGTTCATTAAAGTTCAAATCATAATGGTAACAATTCTAATAGTATTTCTGTTTGATTTCAGCGGTAGAGGAACACTTTGCACAGAGCAGCTTATATGGGTCAGTGTTTAATATGAGCAAAGGATACAGTGACAAGACAACAATGTAAGAAGGCACAGTGGCACTTGACTTCTGTAGCTTCAAAGATGTACAGGATTTTACTACAATACTGCTTAATTGTACCAACAGATGAGAAATTACTTCCACTATGGAAATGCAGGGAGTGATGTTTTTCATATACTGTATATGATAGTTTGTTCTATTCAGTATATTTATATTTATTTGTTCTAATGACAGTTTTATTCTTAGTCATAGTAATGTCACTATCAGTTTCTTGTTTCTGATTGTGATGCATTCATAAGTTTTTGTGCTGTTAGACAAGATCAGCTTTCACAGAGAGAGCTCTGTGTTTGTGTGATCGCAGTACATAGTGTGAAAAACAGAATACCGCCATTCCGAGGAAGCATTTCTGTCATGGGTATTTGCTTCTTCTAGTTGATCAGATGAGCATTTGACTTGAAGAGATTGTTTTGTTTCTTTACAGAACACCATGCAGAAGCGCGTCCACATCACCTCAGTATATTCAGGGCTGCACTCTGGATGGCAGAACGTTCACTGCTGTGTGTGCAAAAACTCAGACTGACTGGGACTGGGTAGTGAAATCCAGGTCTGAATGGAGCAGAAGAGGACCTCAGGCTGTTTCTTCTGCTGCTCTTAGAGATGCAGCTGAAGGTGAAGGTTAATCAGGAATTGAGACCTGTGTAGTTATCAATGGCTTTAATAGCCCCCATCATGTATAACTGGACTTACACTGGAATCCACGCTCAAGAAACTTGCTTTTACCTTTTAAAAAAATGTCAGCTATGTAATTGAAAAGTTAAAAAATTACCCCTGATTTTTTATGCACGTACCCAATGTAAAATAAGTAACTTCTTTAAAGGCCTTTTAAAACATAAATCTCCATGAAGGATTTGAGGGGAAGGGGGGCTCGGCTTATCTTCTCAAGAACAACATATTTGGTGACATTCATTATTTTTGCCAGGGGCACCTGAAACAGAGGATGATTTTCAGTTTGTTCAATTTGGGGAGGTTGAGTCCGAATCGCACCTCACAAAAGACTCACAGAGCTGTCCTGAAGGACTAGTTGTGAACTCGTTATCAGAGGTAAGGAAACAGAGCTAGTATCTGCTACCTTGACATTAAACTCTTTATGCAGACAGTTAGGCAGGTGGCTGAGAATTAAGCCATGGGCCTGGAAGTACAGTTGGCCAGTGGTTTAACTACACTGCTGTGGTGTTTAATGAACATGCACATTTTAATGTAGCCTCCTCTCGTGTTACTGGATTATTCAGTGAGCTTTGCTGTAACTATTGGAGGCATAAAATCAGATAAATTGAAGTGCTGAAAGCTCATACACTTTTATTGTTTTTATCTTTTTCATGTTTCTCTGAAGTTGCTCTCTGTGATCAGACCTGAACAGATTTAATGAACTCAGCAGTACTTTGCGATTAGAACTGCAGCCAAAACATTTTTCGCATGCCAAAGTCTTACTTCAAAGGATTGCTTTTTCCCCTCTCACTGAAAAACAGGTCAATAGAAAAATAAAATGAAGAAAAAGACCAGATGGAAGTTCTTTCTTAATGTTATATTTCTGTTTAAAATACTGTTTTGGCAACAGGATTACAACTACCTTCTGCTGTATGTCAAATCGGTAGTTCTCCATCTCATGGCCTGCTTATATACAGTAAATATACCGTGAAACATCGGAAGCACACCATCCCCTATCCCCTCACACACGTCACCAGCCCCAACACATTATCATTGGGGTAACAATACATCTGTTTTTTCCAAGACAAGTCCTTATTCATGCCCGTAACTCTCCAACTGGGAGATTTTCAAAAAATGTGAAAACATTCCAGATCCACCACCATCCTTTGACAAAGCATCCTCGCTTTTGAGTGTTCAAACCTGGTAACCTTCAATATTTATTTTGAGTCTGCTTCAAATTGCATAGTCACGTTATCCTGACTGAAATTTATAGCAGTGAAACACAGATCTCTGTTGCTCAGTTATTCTCTGTTCTCTGTTTTTGTATTTTATATACTTCAAACATTATTCACACCATGTGTGATTCCCACGTGTGCACTCTTACAGAGTGGATGCTGACTTTTCCAAAATTCTGAGGCACACAGGTTGAGAAGTGTTGGAAAGATATACAGTAAATGAACATGGATGAGGTTGACAGGATATGTGAATATTTAGTCTTAACGTGAGCTGTATTTAGCGTCTTGAACATGGCACTGTTCATTTGCTCTTCCACGTTGTCCCTTTCCATCAGAGGAGAAACCAGTGTTGCTGTCTTTCTTTTTAAGAGTGAAGACACAGAAATCCGAAACCTGCTAGACGGTGGATTGTATAATTTACCTGAAGTTGGACCTCCTTGTCTTCTCGCATACAAACCAGAGTCAAAACAGCCTCCACCTAATTTTGATCTGGTAACTATCGACCTGCAGGAACCTACATGAACACACAGCTCAGAATCATCCAAGTGTTCTGTGTAGTGTATGGTCCTACTATACAGGCAGATCTCGTGTTTCTGACTGCACCCTCTCTTTTCCATTTTCCCCTTAAGCTTTCTACAGAAGGGTACAGTATAATATCTTGTTCTAAATTAACCACAAAACTTTTCTCTCCCGCACTCTCAAGGTCAAGCTAAATTTCTTCCTTCTCCCTGGCCCTGTCCTCTATGTCCCTCATTGTCTCAGAAATAGTATCAAGTAAAATCATTTTTAAAAAATCCTCATCTACTACCAGAAAGTTCTCTCTGTTTTTTATAGCCCAGGGGAAAAGTATTTTCTGTCCTTTATATGTAGCTAGATAAGCCACTGAGATGTCTCGATTGTTTGTCCAAGCTGGCTCCAGTATATTTTTCTTTGTTCATTCAAAAACAAACCTCCCTCATGCTGTCACCATCAGTAATTATAGTGTGCTACCCCCAAGACCCCAGGCTACTGCTAGATTCTCTGCCATGTGTGATACTGCCTAGGAAAAGTAGTTGGGGACCCCCTTTTAAAATAGGCATGTCTCAGGAATTAGACACAGCAGCTAAGCACATTCAACAAAGAATGATCAAAAGCGATGCCTTTATTTCCAATGCAGAGAGGAAATACAAAACAGAACCGAACGACATAGCAAAGCAGATAAGCAGCTTAGTGATACTGTCATACAGTATAATAACTTTACCTTGTCCGTATCGCAGTCAAGACTTACAGTACACATTCCATAGCGCAAGACCTCACTCAGCAATGCAGGACATTTCAGAGTATATTCCTCCTTTTCTCAGAAGGTAGATGCAGAACAGGGGATGTCTTCAGGTCCTGCTTTTTAAGTCATCAACCGGTCAGGTGAGGGTGGATGAACAGTAGATCATCCACCACAATGTCTCACACAGGACTCCTACATCCTTTAGTGTAAAAATCTGCTTCCTGTTCTTGATTTTAAATGTACACTGCTGTAGTTCCCACTTGTGTCTTCTGGTTTGGGTTTCACTGTTGATTCTGAAGAAGCCCGTTGGATGGACTTTGTTACAGCCTTTGAGAGTTTTGAACCAGGTCCCCTCATAGTCATCAGTGTTCAAGACTAAGAAGATTCAGTTCTTTTAAGCTGTCAGGGTAGGGTGTTCCTTTAAGCCTGGATGTACTGTATCTGGTCTCTCTGAACTGATTCTAGAAAAGTAATATGTTATATTATATAATATGAACATTACTAGTTTGATAGCTATACCAGAATCTAGATACACTGATAGAAATAGTCCCAATACACATGCCTGTAGAACACACACAAATTTTCTCCCCCATATTGAGCACTTACCCAAATAATTATCTGCGCTCTCCATTTTCACTTTATTGGCCAGTTTTTAATCCACAAATATGCAATACCCTGAATAACTACCATTCAAAATTTGGAGAATTAAGTTTTTCTAAGGGACTTTGTCCCTCGTGTGTTGTGCTTGTGTGCATTGCTGTTGCTTCTTCAAGAACACTTATCAGATTAGTTTAGCGAGACCTGCCTTTTCTAAATCCAAGTTGCCTGTCTCTCCTCGTGTGTGGCTGCCAGGACGTCGGGTGGTCAGAAAGTGAGGAGGAGCTCCCCACCTGCGAGTTTTGCCAGCAAGTGACGGCGCCTGTTGTGGCAGGGGAGCAGGTGAACACTCACCCTGACCCGAGCTGATTGAGAATGCCCCCCCCCCTCAGCGTGAAAAACCGTCTAGACGAGCAGAATCACATTAAAGCAGTTTGGTGGGCACATCTCACACAAACCTTTAGTGAAAATGTGAGGTGTGTTGATTTATTTTTGGGCATGGCATCCCATCATTGAACCTCAGGCAGATTTAGGTGTAGAAGCTTCCAGCATTGTGTGGGTGTGTATGTAATGAGAAGACTGTAAGGGATATAAAACATGTATGAAGAAACAAGCAGTAACTAACAGTATTCTATGCCACAGATTACAATTAAAGAACAATCTGAACTGGCGCAGTAAAACAATTTTTCAAATGACTACACATGACAGATTTGCTGTTCGCAGCTTCATTACACCAGCTTAACGCAGCGTGTTCAGCTGTGATCTGTGATAAAATCTCCGGTCATGGAAACTGCATTTGAACCGCCTTACACCAGAAAGAGCTTGAGAGCCCCATGCTTCGCTAGTTTGCACAAAGGTGGTTGGACATTGGGCTTTCAAGTAAAATGACTTCAAAACAGTGTAAAACTGACAGGATACAGGGCCATTGACTTGAGCAACAGGTCAGAAGTAAAATGGACATACTCATGGAAACTCCACTATTGTGACCACAGAGAATACCGTTCTGTTGGTAGTACCATTAATCAGTTTAATTGAAGATGAAAATAGGGTAAGAAGAGAACAAATATTTCAAATATATCAGTACATTTTGAAACCCATCAATTCCTTTCTTAAAGCTAAGACCATGCATCAGTTCTCAGCTGTTCACCATATGTGAACTGGCACTCAAACCAGTCTCCCTGCTGGTCTGTATTCAGTTGTTCTGCTGTGAAGCACATCAGAAGTTATGTGAATTCATCTGGGAAGAGGAGGAGGCTCTCTCTGCTGCCCAAGCAAAGAGGAAGATTGATGTTTCTCCTCACCCTCCCTTTAAGAGCAAGCAGGAGAAGAAGGCAGCCAAGGAAAAGGCAGCTCAGAAGTGAGGCTCTGAGTTTTTCAACTGTTTGACTTCTTTTTTCTTTTTCTTTTTTAATAATTACTCATAAGCAGTTGATTGACACACTTCAATCGCAACTGACCCTAATTTGCACATGCATTTAGTGCTGTACTTTATAAGTTACGCCTGACAATAGATTTCCATGTTCTACGTTTTTAAGATTTTGTACTTTTTGTTTGCATATAGCTATCTTATTTTTGTTGGAAGCAGCTATTTGTATTCTTGAGCTCTTATCTTAATTTTAATGGTGCAAACAAATAGTTGTTATTGTGTCCTTCTCTACAGGTATGTTGGTTTTCTGTGTAACATTAGTTTGTCTTCTCCTGGCCAAATTGACATTGTAAATGAGAATCTTTTCTCAACTGGCGTATCTTATTAAGTAAAGGATTATTAACAATACAGCTGGAGCTGAGCACTGAGAGCAGAAGGTAGTTCTAGACTCAACTATTGATAGGCAAACAGAACAGTCTCCCAAGCTACAATGGGATTCAGTTCCTTGGGGATCGTGCAAGAAATGACTTGATGAAGTTCTTGAATCATTAGCTACTCGCAAGCAAAAGAAGAAAGTAAGATGAACAGACTGCATGCTGACCCGCTGATCCCACACAAACCGATGACTGGCTGGGTACAGTATGCACAGACACAGCTGGGGAGGGACTGAAGAGGTTTTCATGTTTCATGTTTGTGTAGATGTGCTTTGTCTCTGGCCCCTGGGTGTCAGCTCTGTGTTGTTTTCAGGCTGAGAGAGTGGGAGCTCCAGAGGTTTAAGAACTCCATGACCCAGGCGCGCTTCTTTACAAGTCAGTTTTACTTTGTTCCCCTTTAAGCACCTGGATTTAATTCACCCTTCAGGAATGTTGGTTTCCACAGCCAAGTATTTAAAGATAAAAAAACTAACAGAAAGTTAGAAGCCACTTACAGAATCTGGCTAATTTACAGATTGATTTTTTTTTTATGTGATTGTTCTGGGTAAGAGACACACCTGAAGAATGCAAACGTTTTTTTTTTTGTTTCTTCTTTTCACTTTTTTTAAGGAATTAACCTCACCTTGTGCCTTTGCATTTACGACTGTCAACAAAACAATCCTCTAGACATAAACTGATGTGCTGAAGATACCACATCAGTTAGAAATTATTATATTTCTAATAATCATTAAATATTATTTATGTAATGTGTTACATAAAGTAAAATACATGTAATTAGTGTATGTCAAGTTGAAATTAAGTTAAAGAAGTCTTATGACTGAATGAAATTTTTTTTTACCATTATGTTCTGTTGTAAGTAGTTGTTTTTTTCTTTTTTCTTTAATTTTGTCAACATGATCTGTTCAAGCCTGCTTTGCCTTCAGTATTTATCTATAATTAGCACATTTCAGTAATTAAGGATAAACATTTATTCTTAATGCTTTAGCGCTGATGCAAAATGTTATTCTGAGGAAATGTTTTATTTTGTTAATACTGTATTGGTGTTTTTGTTGAGCACTGTATCTTGTTCAATACAGAAGGTCTCCAGACCAAGACCATAACCTTCAGGCTGTCTTCTGAGAATCCGGCTGAACACAAACAGTCCCATTTCCCCACAGAGGTCAAAGACTACAGTCAGCTATTTACTCTCCAATCAGGAGAAGAAATGAGAAAGGTAAAATGCTATTTTTCACTTCAGTCACTTGTATAATGATAAAACTAGCCATTAAGCATTTTCATGTGCAACACATGCACACACACTGTTTTATACATTGCCTGACTGAATATAATCATACAATACGTGTGTTACATGAAAATGCTTAATGGCTAGTTTTATTATTATATTAATAATGTAATTACTCTTAAGTTGTGACATTATAGAACTTCTGAAGTTGAAAATATAGTGTAAATAATTAGGTAGGAGATTTTTCCTTGGACCTCAAAGGAAAAGGTCCAATTTTGCTGGAGCCAAGAAAAGAAAATTGCCTGCTACAATTTTAATATTGGTAGATGATACAAGTCAGCAAAAACAATTTTTTAGGATTTTTTTTTAAACATAAAGGATTTATGTGTAATATTAACAAAATTGACTGTATGAGCAAAACTGATGAAAATAGATTAGGTCAGAATTGAAGTTATTGAGGCAGTAGAGCTGGAGCTGATCAATCAACAAAGTGCGAAGGGTTATTGAAAATATCCACAAAATTCACAGTATCATCAAAACAAAAGGTATTTACTCTCCTTTATTTTTACCTAACCATAGCAGGAGACAGAAAAAAGGTGTTTTAATTATATAGGATTGTGTCTTTGAATGAATAAAAAAAGCATATGGTGTTGGGGGGAAAAAGTTGTTCTGAACTAGGTTGCTGTGTGAACATCCTGTAATAACTCATCTACAAAACAAACTTGTGTTCCACAACATAAAATTCTTCATCCAGCGTGTGAGCAGTATTGCATATTTATTCATATCTACCCTATGTGCCTAATCCAACAAGTAGTTGGTGTTAGTATTTATGGATTTTTCCATTTTCAAATTGCAGTTTCTTCTTGTTTTACAGAGCACGCACGCAGTTAGAAAATTCTACCCCGGAGGCCAAACGTTTCTCACAATGTTCCCAGATGGCACAGGCCAAGCTTTGTATCCATTTATGCCAGGATGTAAATGGCTATGAAATTACTGTTGACATGTTAGTGGACTAAGGAGTGCAGGGCAGCAGGGAGGAGGAGATTCACTGCTTGTCTGGTGTTCCCTGTGCAGGATTGGCACAGTGGGCTTGCTGCTAATTTTCCTCCTTCCGGCCATTAAAACAGCATTAGCACACTTAATTTCCAACAAGGTCACATAACACCAAAGAGCTCCTGGCATCCTGCCTGTCTTCTCTGCCACATTATGTGCCCAGATATACAGTACACGACGTTTTAATTGGCTAGCAGTTAAAACATACTGGGAGCATAGTCCTTCTTCGTGGCTGGAGTTTCCTTTGTTTCATTTCTTCTCATATGGCAAAAATGGTGATCATCAGCTGTTATCAATATAGTTTATTTTTTAGAACTTGTCTCAAGAATTATAATTATATTCCTTAAAATCACGTAAAGCTATCCATCAGGAAGGGTGGCTATCATGATCTCTTCCGTGAATCCAGCGGATTTTACCTATATAATTCTTGAAGATTGTGCCGTTAAACCAAAAATACGAGCAATCTTCACCACCAGGGGACAGTCAACATGCTATCACCTTAATGGAATGATTTGGTATGTCATTTGTTAATCATCATTCTTTATAAAGTCACTGGTGGATAAAGGCCTCCACGTGATTCAGCTACAGACATCCCTTCCAGGGAGTATTCTTGATTGATTTTAGACTCTTGGGTACCATGTCAGTATTTCTTTAGTACAACAACAATCTGTTCTTCTTGCTGCGTGTTGATGGCGATCACCTGTCATTTATGTCTCTCTTTGTTATTCCTAATGTACATAATTTCTCCATTCTGCTTTGGGTCATCTGTACAGGTTTCTGTATCTTTGTTCCACATCCATATACCAGTCAAAGGAGCAATATATACAGTATACTGTAGGTGCATACAGTAACATGGTTAATATGAGCACTGAATCTGTGATGTCACTCCTGCAGGCCGTGGACAGCACTGAATTCTTTGATCGTAGGAGGCCGAATTACTTTAGCAAAGTGGAATTCTCCACTGCTTGAGAGCTGAAGTTGCCCATAAGCAGCAGTGTTCATATATCAGTGGGGACTGCACTATTTTAAAATATCCAAATTCCAAAATATATATATACAATCTTTAAAACAATTTTTAAACTTTCAGACATTTATATTATGCTAGAAGCATGTTATTAGTAGATGTTAAAGTTTTGTCTTGATTGACACCACCAGTTTGTAAAATATAAAATGTTCCCACTGGTCAAAGAATACCAAGGAGAATCATGCAGCTTCTGTGCTTCAGTGGACTAATAATTTTAAAAGACAAGTACTTACACTACTGGAGTGAGATCTAAAGCACTTTTAAGATAAGGTGACAGTCAATACAGGCATTTGAGCTGGTGCGGCATTATCTTGGAGAGATATTGCACTTGAATCACAATGAAGTGTCACCAGTCAGTCTTGAATGCAGCTGCCATACTAGCAGTTTCAGTGGCTGGTGGTAGACATGGACATGTGCATTTAATCAGCTTGTCCCACTAGTGCTCGACTGGGCTGAGAGTGATGCATCTGGTCTTTGGGTAATGTAAATAGTGTTTCCAACTGTTTCACTCATTTCTGCTTTTTGTACTAATGGTCATTCTTCTGGTACTGTACAAACTGTACAAACCCTAATCTCACCCACTGTCTACCTATGAATAAATATAACGATTCTTGCTTACCCACGTTTTCACCGATAGGGTTTAATGGAAGAGTGATGTCTTCCCAGGGTAAACCTGAACCAGCTTGGTGGCGTGTGCTGCAGCGAGAGAGGAGTCCCGAAGAGGCGCTGGAAGTGGTTGGACTGGGATCCCCATGTTCATGCGCCTCCTTTCCAGCCCATCTGTATGGCTCTGAACCCCCACACGGGCATACGCATCCTCTCGCAGGAACAGATCTACATCACCTTCGCCTTCCGGAGGAACAGCGTCAGGTTTAACGTTGGGGCCAGGCTAAGGGTAAAGTTCAATTCTTCTTCTGAATTAATATTCTCTGTCAAACAGAAAACCGAATGTACAGACATGGAATCTTCTTGAAAGGCTGGTCACTGGCCACTTTCTTTCATTAACACAAGATACAGCACAAAATCTAATAATCTGGAAGCTCAAGAAACGCGATAGTTAATTGCATGTTCTTAATTTAGCATCATAGCCTCACTGCTCTGTTCACAATAACTAATATCAGAGGAACAGTGGGGCTCGACTGCTGTAAGGAGATTGTGGTTTGGCTTTTGAACAGAAACCCATCAAAATTAAAGTTCTGCAGGAACTTACTATGCCGATTTTGTAACTAAACTGCCTGAATGACAAATTCCGTTTTTAACACAAAACAAATCCTGACAGAGAGTATACATTGGCTCCCTCTGAAGGAAATGGCAACGTCTGATGGTTCCTTTGCTAGGTTGAAGACCCCAGGGGACTGAAAAAGTCCACGCCGGATATCCTTAAGGAAGACCTTCGAACAAGAACGCTGGAGATCTACACTCTATTAGAAAAGATCCAAAATTCTGTGAAATATCCACACTGCGCCCTTTCAGAGAAGATCCCTCCTCAGTTCAGCCTCTCTGGTCAGCTCCACAGGCTGAAGGAACAGCTGGGGAAAGCAGAATGTAAGAAGACGACAAAGATTTGCTCCCCCACCAAGGAACAAGAAGAGTGATCAAATGCTGCTCAGCCTTCTGCTCCTCTTTGCTTGTTTCTCAAGTAGCCTTCCACCAATAAAGCAAGGGATTGCTCAATTCAGGTTTTATTTTCTAAAATTACATTTCGTGATGCAGCATAATGAATTCCCAATGTAAATAGTGATGAAAATACAGTATTAAGGCCCTGCTACCCTAATACAAGGAGTCAAGCAGTAGACAGGGGAGAAAAAAAAACCTTTATTTGAAGGTGATCAGAATCAGCATTCTTCATAGATAAATACAGTATTTCCATTTTATGTACACTGCTTTACATTTTGTGTTTATAAAAATGTTACATATTTAAAAGTTAATATAAACCTTATTTTTTTTAAATTACCTCTTCAATCATTTCTGAAGGATAAGGAACACCCAATGCAATCCCTTGCCATTCATAGAAATATTTCTCCTTGAAATCAGCAAATTAGACCAGACAACTGCTGTGTGTGACCAGATGAAGGACAACTGTGACAGAATCACAGTCCAATATTACTTATTTGCAACTTTAGCTCTAATCTTTAATAAAAAATATACAGTTATTTTACAAGTATACAGCGAACCAGTTGTCATGGAGTGTTGCACACACAGAGAAGACTTATTTTACATCATTGACCAATGATTTAGTTACAAACCCTAACACTAGAAGATGAAACAATCAGTTCCAGCACAAGCTTTGTACAATACAGTAATGTAATTTCATACCAAAGTCTCTGCCCACTAATGATCATAGTTTAGCTATGTTTTCATCTTTGCCTTTTATACCCATCTCGGAACAAGGTAAAGGGTCTTGTCCCAGTAAAGAGGCAATAAAACTGACTTAAATAAAGCAGGGGTGGAATGATAAGAGTATGAAAATATTTGAGGGTCAAAAAGAGAGAGCATCTCAGTGGGCTCTAATACTACATCTGGGGACGGAAAGTACTTGTGAGTCTTAATTTTTACAGAACCAAGGTGCTCTCCCACAGAGCCCGAGGTACTGTTTGGATCAGTGTGGCCATGCCTGAAAGCTGTCTCTGAGATCACCACTTACCACAGGTGGAAAAACACAGCTAGCACAATAGGCCAATAGAACTCTAGGAGTAGAAGGTGAAACTTTGGATAATGGAGGAAGGACAGATAATCCACCAGATGGGCTGGACCCTGGGCAGCACAGCACAATGTTCCAGACAGCTCAAAGAACACAGCCAACGGAGCCACACCACACTGCTTTTTTAGAGATCTCAGTTCAGGAAAAGATGTGATATGTCATGAATAGAGATATCCATTTAGCTTTTGTATTTTGTAAAATAATATTATGAAAGCTGTATTTCGAAAGCATCTAAGATGCTTCTCACTACCCCTATCAAGCAAGACTCTAGTATAGAGGTTTAAAACTTGGGTTTAGAGGATTAACATAAGTTATGTTATGTTAACCGCTTATCCAGAGAGGAACGTTTTTTATGCAATAATAAATCTGCACAACATCTTTAGTTTGGTGGAAAAATAATGCATTCCTAAATACAACTGTTTTTGAAAGACCATGAACGTCTGCTTTTAGAAAATCTATACATTACAAAGCTGTACAAAAAAACAGAGAGGCAATCTGTCCCACAAACAAAAGACAGAGCACAGAAGTACTAAATTATTTAGTTTCCTCTTCTCACATCTGGACTGAAATCATACTATGTATACCAAAGACTAAATATTCCAATAGAGAAGAATAAAAATAACTAAACTAAAAATACCCACTGTTATTAATCAAAGCAAACGTTGCGTACCCCTGCAATCCACCAGCCACTCTTACTTGATGACCTTTCGAAAGGAACAGCAATGCCTCCACATAATGGATATGGGTCAATACATTCAGAAAACACTGTACAAAATTTCTGGCAACAATCTCTCTGTATCACTTTAGGGTATAGCTCAACCTTTACTTTCACTCTCTCTCATCAGCCAACATCACACCAGACATCCACAATGACAGGGGTCCCCAGTTCTGGCTGTGGAGGGCCAGTGTGACTGCAGGCTTTCTGTAGAAAGTAAAGCTGAGAAAAGTAAAGCTGTTCCAATTAAGGCAACAGCTAGATGAGTGAGGTCATTAGGAGCTGGAATGAAGACCTATCTGCAGACACACTGGCCCACCGGTATCAGGACTCCACACCACTGCTCAGAATCTGCAACCCAACAGGCGAATTAAGTATCCTTACATCAGCGACGGCTTCAGACCACCACAACACTATTAAATTGGACCAATTAACCCTGAGCCCAGCTAACTGAATTCTCTGTCTGAGGTCTTGTCTTTTAGAAATTTAAAGAGATCAATACGACCTGCTGGACCACCTTTAGTGCACAATATCACATCTATGGTTAAAATTCCCTTTCTGTTCTTCTTGTTTGGTATATTCATCAGGAACCCAGTCAATGGCTGCCATGAACTCACCTGCCTATCTTGTCCCAGTCTAAAGATGTCCACAAACTATGAGAGACAAGAAACTGTTTTTGTTCAGAATCTGATTCCTAAGCTGACAGGATGAAGGAACTGAACTTTTTCTAACCTTCATCATCTTGAATAGAGAAAAAATACAGGGGAACTGTTATTCAGAATCCCCAAAGGTTGTGACAAAGCCTACTCGGCAGATGTCTTCAGAACGAAGACTGAAGCATGAACCAAAAGGACATAAGTAGAAACTACGTAGAAGTGCACTTAAAACTGGGACCAGTAGGCACTTCTTTACCTAAACAGCTGAGGAAGTCTGTGACAAGCTACTCAGCCATTTTACTGAAGCCAATACCATGGGTTCCTTCAAGAAAAAGAATTTGGATGACTTCCTTGAATCCATTAACTACTAAATACTGAATAGGCTACTGCATGTGGGCTAGATCCTATGTTTCTTAAGAAGTCATGTTCCTCAGTGTACTCAGTGTAATGTTCTAAAGCAATCTTTCAAATGAGTTGTGAAACATCTGAACAGCCTGTTCTATGATCATTTGACTCAGCCTCATTAGTTGACAGGATCTCAAATGCCACTCTGAAGTTAAGATCTAGTGATGTTAAAGTATCAGTTTCATCTTCCTGGGATCTCTACCTCTGTCCAACTGCACAGCTCTAGTTCAACAAGGGCACAACGTTGCATAAAAACACTGATAAAGAAATAACACCCCAAGACCTGTAAATGCTTCCCACTTCCTTGTGAATCCTCCAAATTCTGAATCAACGCTGAAACTAATGTTTTTTGAGGCTCTTGTTATTATTTTACTGAAGAACAGAAAATAAAACTGTATGGTTCAAGTAGGGAAAAGGATATTTCTTCATAGAAGTGAATGGAAAGCCTTCATGCTCGATTTGTACAGGTAGCTGTAGCCAAAGATCTATAGTCCATTTGTAGATGTTTGGTGTTTTGTATGGCTGATATCTAGCAAATAGTGTCCTGCTTTTTGATGTTTATTTTCCACCACAGAACGTCCCTTGAACCCTGATGTTTGCCTGTTTCCCAAGTATAAAGACTAAAACTCTACTAATTACAAGAGATGAGAGGTTTCAAACTTATCACAGGCGCTGGGTTATCATTCCCGTATGTCAGTACTGTAGTTTACCAGTTGATATACATATAAGCATCACATCTTGGCTTGTGAAGATATAATGTGTTTCTCAAGAGTAACACATCCCCCCTTTACTCTTTTACTCATGATTCTTTCCCAAGGTCTAGAAAATCATCCAATATTATTCACTGTTCCTACCTTAAGACTACTGGATTGTCAAAATATGAACACTGTTGCATGTTTATGATAATTAACCTATTTAACTTAATATAGTAGTTAGTACAAAATATAAAAATGTAAAAAAGTAAACTTTTGAAAACATGGATAACAGGTGACTATAGGCAACACAACCACTTGTCCTTTTTAGCTATTTCCACACTTCTTACAGCCAGAGGAATGGCTTTCCTCAATTTCTGTGCCTCAGAAGCAATATGTTTTGCTGAAATTATGTTAAAAAATAAGGAGTATGTTCAATAATAAAAATCCCTAATAAATGAGAGCTGTCAAAAGGGAAGCATCTTCAGTTTAAAAAAATATGACCTCATAAACTGAGAAAACAAGTATTAAAAATACATGCTTCATTGTAGCAGAAATTCAATTACATCGGGATTTCTGATAGCTTGGGGTGGATGTGTTGTCCAGTTCTTGAACGAAATATCTTGACACTTTTCTTCTCAGGATAACAGAGCAAACAATCAGTTATGATATTTTAAATATGGATAATTATGATTAAAACATTCCCATATGTAGAGGGTAGTAGTAAGTTCTGCAAAATTGTCATCCAGTGAAGACACAACGACTGTTAAATGCATTTTAAAGGGAGGTATTTCACTGTAAAATAAACACCAAAAATGCAGGACACTACAAATAAAAATATTATCTATTGCTTGTGCCTAGAATCTTGATAATTTGTTATATACAGTCATCCTGTAGTACATTTAAATAAATGTCACAACAAATAAGTTTGACCACCCTACCATAAATGAGTCTCTTTCAGTAATGTTACCTTTGACAAAGGAAACCCTCTGAATTTTACTCCTATAGTACAAAACAAAACCGATATGCACATTGCTACCAGTTACTTGAGAGTACTAGAAGAAAATTTTGTGATTCTAAGTGATTATGCCATTTCACCTCAGCTTTCTGCTAGAAAACCAACCTTCCTGGGCCCTATGTGATTACTGACACATTTCTACTTCCTGAATTCATACAAGTGCAGGATATATATTTATTGAAAAACCTGCTTCTGCCAATATCGTCTTCAGAAAAGCACATAAAAGAAGGTGATCAGGTATTTTCTTCAGATGTTAGTTAAATAAGAGTAACCACACCACTCCAACAGATATACAGGTACAACTGTGGCTGCAAGCTTACCAAATTATGTCAGGAAAAAAATACTTGGTTAACAGAAAATGGTACCAAATCAAACTAAGGGGAAGAGGTGCCACTTACATGTCAATAATCACCCAACTTCACAGAGAAGTTCACCTATAACATTCACTTTCTTCCTGTTTCTCGTATTATAACCTGTTTTTTCAATGTCTAAGAACTTTTAAAGAAACGGAAAATACAAAATGCGTATGAAATGTTGGCAAACCCAGCGTTCTCCTTTGTCAGCATAACATCGTCTTTGGTTTAACTACTGTGCAACATGTCCCAAGGAACAACACATTCTCACAAGTCCGGGGAAAAAAAACCTGCAGCTCGAGTTCTTTGAATGAATCTGCAAGAAGAGGTGGTGAACGTGGAAAACCCGACACCTGCATCCCGACAGCACCTCCAGAGTTAAGGCCAGTGGCTGCCTCTTCAAGAGTTTTGCGGTTGGTTATTATTTGTTTACCGACAGCAGCAAATTGATCTGCAACAGAAAACAGAGCTTCAGATCTGGCGCACTGCTCCCTGAGGCTGTTCAGCACCATTCAAATCATGTGTCAAAATTAGCATCGCTCAAGTACAATTAACACACAGCACACCAGACAAATCGTTATATTTTGTAAATGTTGTCTAAATACATTTTGAATGCCATCAAAACACGAGATAAAGCATAGCTTGTTTCAAACTTCTGCTGACTTCTCTTCTGACATGTGCTTTGGGGTTTATGGATTCCACATGTTTTCCACACACACACACATACAACAGAAAAGGAAGGGCGAAACTTTGGAGTATAACAGATTTTAAAATAATCGTTTTTTTAGCTGAGAAGGTGAGATTGAAGAATCAAAACCTACAGTTTATTTTATAGGGAAGGTAACCCATATCTATCCTATTTTTACAATCCTTGAATCCAAAGCAGAACAGTGAGTTCACATTGTTACAAAAAAGTATCATCACTGCAGCACTGGACTAAGGCAGCTTCATTAATTCACAATCAAGACTTCCAAAACATTCTTAACAGGTCCACTGTTGTTGCCACTGATGTCCTATGATGTTGCTGTCCTTTCCTAACGTCCTGTCTTTCTGGGTGGTGGAGGGGGTCTGTCCTAATATTTGGTGTATGGGAACCTCATCATCTGGGAATTTCAAGTCTCCTCCTTACTTGATGCCCAATATTCAAAATGCTAGCAGACTGCATTATAATTAGTACCTGCTCCATAGAGGGACAGGCAATGATCTGCAGATCCTCCCCGCTGTATTCCTCTTGGAGAACTGTGTGGAGCTTCTGGAACACTTGTTGAATATTGTTCTACAAATGACAAAACACCAACAACAATGTTTTTTTCTTGTGTTGAAAAGGACCCGGTCCAAGTACAAAACCGAATATGAGAATACAAACAAGTTCAAAGGTGCCATCTGGAGCTCTATTGCGTTTTGACACAACCATCGTACTTTATAACCATTTTAATACACAGCTGAGTTATCTGCCTCAGTAAGCATTCCAGGTGGACTGACGCTTAATTCACTGAGACCCCTCACTCTGGGCTACTCACCCGGACTGGCTTGAAAAGGATGAACTCTGTGTCTCTGTTGGCCAGGTACAAAGACATGCTTTGCGAGGTTGTTGGTAGTTTCGTTTTCATGGTTCTGTATGTGGCCGTCAAAAGCTCATTGATCTTGGCTGTGAAAGAAAGAAAGAAAGGCCCAGGAGCAACATGAGCAGCGTAAACAAGCTTTACGGCTTAAGTTTACAGCGTCAATTAGCAATTCCAGGTTATGGATTATGCAACATGCCAACGTCTTTGTAACACTGGCGTTTCTTGCAAAAAGACAAAAAAGCCCTATTTTGACTACTCGACAGGAGGAGGGATTTGGACACATTTGATTTAGGCTTCAGATGTTTCATCCTCTAGAATGTAGTTTGTGCCAGCACCCTTGACGTCCTCTCTTGCAACAAAATTTCTGATGTAATGCTTTAGTTTTATCATCAGTGGCGGGTGAACAGGAATCAGACTTTGCATCAAATGTTTTAACAGACATGTTTACAAGCCTTATTCCCTTCTGTCTGTGAGCAAGCGGTGGTCTCACCAGGCTGTGCCCATGGCTGCTGAGGAAGATTATAGCTTGGCCCCCCTTGGTTGGCCATTGTCTTCAGTGCTGTCACCTGAAAAACAGCACACTGGTAAACAGACTACATACTAATGTAATGCTCCATCAAATTCAGATGCGGCTTCTACAGAGAAGCATACATCGAAAACCTGTACAAACAGTTGCAGAAAGCAACACGTGCTGTACAATGTGTCTGCCCACATGAAGAGGCTTGTTTAAGGTCATCGCACTCAGAAGCTGACTATAATAATTACTGAGTTAAAACTTGTGAAAGTGTGGTTCTGCTGCATTAAATCAACAAACCTGCTAAGCTAAAAGGTATTACAGTATAACTGCATCTGCACAACATTCTTAAACACTTGTAACATATAAAGAGTGATTTATTTTTCTTTTCCGACTTTCCTCACCTTGGTTAGAAATTCCTCCAAGTTTCCCACAAAAAGCCTGGTCTGCTGCTGGATAAACTGTTCGCAGCTGGATTTCAGATGGCGATCGACATCTTTCTTGGAGTCTATATAATGCTCTTTTATCTCGGGCGTTCCCTGTAGCAGAGATAATAGTCTACAGCTTTAAAACGCCTTTGCAAACTCTGTATAACACCTTAAACGTCAAAAATTTTATACCATTACCAAGAGAAGCCAGAATAATCGTAGAGACATTATGGATCTATATAAAGGAAGACGGACAGGTTAATTTATGCTGAAAAGCAAGAAGAAAAAACGTTTCATCTGTGGAGTCATCTTTGTGTGCGAGTATACACACTTCATACCTATGAAGGTTCCACAGCTGAACTGTTGTGTTTTATCTTTCCTTCTACTTTTCAGCATGGAAATAACCTCTTCATATTCCTTTTCAAGCTGCACTTACTCAGCTACTCATTCTGACACTATACGCATATATTGGGACTATTTCTCTGGATCTTGGGTCTTGGGTCTTCGGTGTGAGCTCCAGCTGCACACACTGCTGGTGTACCTTCAAATGAGGTACTTTACCCCAGTTGGTCACCCAGCTCTACCAGTGTGGACCAGAATTACTGGGTTGGTGTGGTCATCCCTGTGATGGACAGCTGTCCCACCCAGGGGAGGGGAGTCCTGTGCTCAGAAACCGGGATGAGCTCTGGCCTGATGAGCTGCTATGATCCTGGTACACATTTATAACTACGTTAACACTAAAAGACACTGAAAAAGCAACAAGTGCTTCAAATGCTGTTCTCACTTTTGTGTTTTTGAAGCCTCTCAGTATGTATTTGACAAGCAGCATTGCTGCCTTTTAGCCTGATCTCAGAAGCTAGGCAGGGCAGAGCCCCGTCAGTGACAGGCTGGGAGACCCCCAGGGAAATCCAGGAGATGAAAGTGGTACAATTCCCTCTGAGCCACAGCTTCCAAACCAATGTCCCAATACAAAGGCAGAAACACTGAGTTCTTATGTTAGACAGGGATCCTAATTATTTCTGGTTGTTGGCAAGTGCAGGGGTTCTAATTCCAGTGTCCTGACTAAATTCCACTCTGGGTGTGCACAGTCTGGCCTCGCTTGCTTCACCCTGTTTGCGTCAGTGGTTAATGAATCGGGTCCACTCTGATATGTAAAGTGGTAAATGAACACAAGGAGTGATCGTTATTATATACATGCACATATGAACAGGTAACGGGTTTATTCCATGCTGAAAAGAAAAGAAAGGAAACACAACGTTTTGGCCGTGGAGCCTTCTTCAGTTGTGTTTCTTTTATTTTCCTTTCAGCATGGAATATACCCGTTACCTGTTCCTTTGCAGCCTACGCCTGCTGACGCAGCTCCCTACTCGAACTACATGCACATATGTAATCCAGATCACAAAATACACTGAATCACTCTTTACCTCAAGCAGAAACTGAAGGATAGCATTGTGACTGTTCAGTCGAAAAAACTTAGGAACTGTCCTAGGATTAAAAATTTTAAAAGCAGCATCTGAAAGAAAAACAAGAGCAAATAAAAGCAAGAGTAAAAAAATATAACATTTTACCCGTCCATATTAAAAGGGGTGGGGGCTCCCTCTACTGGATATAGTCTAATACTGCATGTCAATAAACCATCTTGTTCTTTGTACTCATCCACAACTGGAATACAGCTGCATTGTGTGTTTTATATTTTTTTTTAAATCAGACTTGATCTTTGCTGTAACATGATGTTTGGATTCCAATTTCTAATCAGTAAATATGAAAATGTTTAAATAATTAAATGCATGAAAATAGGAGGGTCTTCCTTTTTTTACACAAAGAAAAATTACTTTCAGCCAAGTTGTTGGGAGTTGGCTTCCTTCAAAAAAAGCTGGATAAAATCCTTGAATTAATTAGCTACTAATTAATACCAAACAAGCAACATGAACTGAAAGATCTCTTCTCATTTTTATTTTTTTTGTTCAGTACCTATTGTACATTGTACATACTTTACATACAGCTTTAATTGTAAGAACTACCACTCTGTATGTAAAAAAGGGTATTTATTAATTACCAGATCTACTACTGTTACATAAACTACATTGCAATGTAAATGACAGATCATTTACATTTACTGTCCACTGGCACTGACATGAATTAGAAGAACAAGCGAGTGAAACTACAGCATCTAATCACTCTACCATGACCAAGAATGACAGGCAAAACATACATTTAGACATCTAAAATAAACAAGCCAAATTCAGTACCAGTGCTGAAAGGAGTTCTTAGGTAAAGACAATTGAGAAATGACACAGATCATGTTATGAAGCAGGACCTAGCTACCCAGACCCGGCAGTACATACCTTTAGTTTTTTTGAGATCCAGAGAAATTTCCTTAATGGCAAAGTCAGTGTGGAAGGGAGCAATCTGTTCCCTCATGATCAGCAGGTGCTTGATGAGAAACAGCTGGCCATCGATTTGAGTCTGCACAAGAACAGAGAACATAGTAAAACCCATGTTGCATTATTAACACCCATTGCATACTTTGTTTTTAAACAGACTGTGACCTTACAGTGCTGGCATAAGAACAAAAGAAAGGCTGCTGTCCATGAGGGAAAGCTATTTAACCCACCTTTCTCATCTCGTGGTGATAGGAGTCAAGTGAAACGAAAATTTCACCCAGCCATTTCTTGAATGATCCTCCAGTTTGAGACTCAGACACTTGCTTATTAACCCTGTTCCTTACATCTGCAACTCTTTATGTAAACAAGGGCTTCCTATTTTTAATCTCGAATGGATTCTCCTTTAGTTTCCCAGTGCAACCCTATGTACTGGCGTTCCACTGATGAGTATAAATAATTCAGCCCTAGGATGACCCTATCCATCCTCTTTAGGATTCTATATACTGGTTACAGGTTTGATCTCAATCTCATTTGTTCTACATTAAACAGGTCCAACTCCTTTAACACATCTGTATGTAACAATCCACAGAGACCAGGAATATTTCTTGTTGCTCTTATTTGACTTTTAAGGCTATGCTAACCTGTTTATTGAGCGTTCCCCAAAATGGAGCAATTTTTTTAAACGAGGTCCTACTAATACTTTCCAAATCTTGAACAATACTTCCCCAGTTTGAAATTGCACACTATTTGCTAAATATGCTAGCAAACTTGCTTAAAATACCACACATGAAATATGTACAGCACAGTGTATTTCCTGTTACCAGTGTGGAGCACTTTGCATTTATTGATGTAAAATTTAATTCACAAAGGGCCTGCCCAGTCCATCTCTTTTTTCACGGTTTCTGTGTTAACAAACTGCTTTGCTTTCACATCATCTGTAAATCTAACTAGTTTTCTAAATATACCAGAACATAAATAACTGAAATAGCTCATGAAGGTCAAAGGGCCTAAAAACGATGAACAGCTTAGATCGAACTAATCAGAGACTGTGCCCCATAAAATGCTGTGCGGATTCCTGTTTGTTAAGCAGTTCTTCATCACGGTGCACAGACTAAATTGGATTCCTATGGCTTTTCATTTCTAAATTAATCTTTTATAAGGGCCTTTATTGAAAGCTTCTATTTTAAAAAAAAAACATTTCAAACTTCAAAATATATCCTGGCATATGCTTTATCAACTATCCTCATGGCTTAAAGAATTCTAGCCGTCTCTTAAAATGCCACCATTTTGGAAGTATTCTTTGAGTTTATCATCTCTCTACTATTCCTGTAACTGTATCAGTAACTGAAGACATGCTGTAATAACTGGCCTGTGGTTTCCCTTTTCAGTTTTGCCCTCTTTTACCAACTAGCTTTACATTTGCAGTGATCTCCACTGTGGGAGCTGATCCCACCCGCACTGCGGGCGGAACAAGGGTGTCAGGGTGTTCAACCGGCATATGACTGGAAAGATATTCAGAGCAGGGAATCCTATCTATTACCCATCCTTCTGTAACCAGTTCCACTGGCTGCTTGTTTCAGAAGCTGAGTCACCAGTCAAACTCCTCACTAAGCTACACTGCACCAATTCGCTCTGCCACAATGACTGTATATCACTCTTTGATCGCAGGCCGGGGAAAAGCTCCTGCAGAGACACACACAGGACGTCCCAGAGAGCATTCGCAACTGGCAGGGGTCTGGCTCCACTGGCTGAGACACATCAGATAAATGTCTTACAGCGCTAACCTGAGGCAATGCAACTTCAGATCTCAGCCCCCACACACCAGATCCAAAGAGCCCTCATTAACACAGAGGATCCAGGCAGGCGTGACAAACATGCCTCAGCCTGAGGAGGGAACATACAACCTTCAAAGGGAAAAAAACTCTTTGCCACTCAGTACTTTTTACAGATGTCATAAAGTGAAATTAACTGATGAAGGATTCCCACACGCATTCTACTACCTTGACACATATCTGCTATAAAGCAACATTTGATAAACAAGTGACAAACCTTAAATTAACATTAAATGTAAACCATGAAAATAATCGTAGTTCAGGCTTTGATGTACAGAGGTCAAGTTTCAAATTAGATAAAAGAGCTCTCCGTAATACAAATGAAACAAGTTGTATTTTCATTATAATATGCCATACAAATTAATCGGAAATCAAAAATGCTTGAATCTCAACACACTAGGACTGCAGTGCACTGGAATTCCAAAAGGATTCCCCCAGTGGCAGGATAAACTAGGACACTTTGCTCCGCTGACACAGCGGCTGATATCCCGCAACACGAATTTAACAGGAACTGCTCTTGTGGTGAAAGTAAAGGGTTGAACTCTGTCATGTAAACTACCGAAGTACCAAGTGGGCCACCGTATCAGTTAAGTTACCAAAATACAAAGATGTGAAATTGACAAAATTAAATTTAATACAACACAGACCAGTAAATAATGTTCAAATTAAAAAAACAAAAACACTCCCATGCAAAAAACTAATCTCTGCAAATTCAGGATACTTTCTCAAACCATTCAGTGGATTAAGGAGAAAGCGAGTAGGAGACTACCCACTGCACATGGACGTTATTCTGATTTAATGTGGCATAAATAACCAGTTTCAGTCTTTCCAGTAAAAGATATGCATTCTTCAGGGTAGTATGAAAAGATGAAGTACATGCTATGGCAGAGATCAACCAAAAGCTGCAGCATTTTCCCTGAAGCCTGAATTCCTGCATAACCCTCAAGTCAGAAAAATCAACAAACACAATCGAACTCCCAGCTCAAACCTGTGGGTAGGTGAATACTCCATGGCTACTGACTCAGCGGTTTGTAAAATTATTATTCCCAGGTGAGGAGTGAACTAGAATTTAAATACCTAGGGAACTTAATCACAGGATCATGACCGAGGCATCATCTTCATTACAGCAACCACTCACCTTGTTCTTAGTGATGGCATCTGTGGCTTTCAGTAGCGACTGGATACATGAAGACAAGGCCTCTTGTGATAAGCCTTGAAAAACTGCTCTCTAGAAGGAGAAAACAATCACATCAATGCAACCTCACTGACCGCGGCTTGTCAGCCGTCCGACAAAACAGTCCATCCACCTCTTCACTTCCACCCTCACAGTGGGAGAGGTGTTCGATTTCTGCCTCCAGACAGGTTTGCTGAAGGGCGACATCTTACATCAATACACCTGTACAGCTTGGACAGGCACACCAAGGTCCTCCTCAGGGTGGGGTACCACATGCCGTGCAAGTCCGCCGGAGAGATGGAGGCGTGCAGCCGAGCTCCGGGAGCTTCTCCAGTACCTGTGGTCGCAGAGAGGGCAAGCCGTCACACGCCAGCTCAGGAGGAGAGCTCTCCTCCTCAGGGAGCCAACAAACCTAATGATGGCCGATGTACAGGCCAACCGGAGGAGGTTCCCCATGGGCCCCTTTCATCCGTTTCACCTGATTTGATGACATTTTTAGAGTCGGCGTCTTCCAGCTGGACATCTGAAAATGAAGAATCCAAGGAAAGCTGTTTCTTCTGCTCTTCCTTTAAGCTCTGGGCGATTTTCTGAGCAAAATGGGGAAAGAAAAGGGGGCAAAACCCAAGTCAGGTATTTGAAATCAGAGCGGGGGGGGATCCTTTCACAAACATAGGCATTTTCAAAATAGGCAAACTCTATATTATCTTACGGAATATTGCCTGAAGACCACTAATCACGCCAATCGAAAGGATTTTGGCCTGAAACTACAACACCTGAAATCCCAGATCATTTGGGTCTGTTCACTGGGATGTGAACTCGAGGGAATGGCAGTATTTTCCGCACCTCCATCATTTCCAGCTTATCAGGGTATGCCAGGTCTCCCGGGGCAGGGTTATACCCAATGATGTCAGTCTGGATGTAGATGTGGGTTCTGTACACAAGTCGCTCTTGAACGTCCTCCAACATCTGCTTAACCACAGCTTCGAAGGCTCCCAGCTGTTGCACTGAAAGGACACATTTTACACAAAGTCACAGAGGCACATGCTACTCTTAAAGGCTCTTCTTTAAGATATAGAGATTGCAAGAACACAATCAGAATTAGCCACATTAGTGAATAAGTGCAAACAGTGCCCTGCACGGTTTCCTGAAGAGGCCGAATATACAGAACACGTACTACAAGCCCTACAAGTACCACAAGATTTTGCAAACACAGACTAACGTAATTGAACTGGAATTAACTTCGTGAACTTAGTGAACTTCCTGTTCCACTGCAGGAGTAGTTTTGCATAGTACAGCAGCCTGCACTGACTGATGAAAAAAAACACTGACAATCATCCTAGATTGTGCAAAAAGGCTGAGCTGCCTTTACAAACAAACAGGATAAATTTCCCCCGTGAAGAGAAACGGGTCACACAGCATTCTGATCTGATCTTACTGTTGTTCTGAACGTGGTCCTCTAGCATCTCATTCTTGAGGATCCCACAGAGCTCTGACAGGGTCTCCAGATGGATGACGTGGATGATGAGCGGCCTTAAGACGTCGTACAGCGACAGGCACAGCCTCTCTAGCAGTTCACTGTGAAAGGAACAGCTCAGCGTGACAGTGCGAACCCTGCCTACCTCACCAAGGAGATCGTGGAAGATCCAGGAAGAGATCGTACAAAAGTAAACTGCAAGACCCATGGCTCATAGGTAACAACCCAGAACAAGTTCAGCAATACCTCGCCCAATGTGGTTTCTATTAGAGCTAATGCTCCATAGTGCCCTTTGTCCTAGTAATTACTGTACTTTAAGTACTCCAAAAAATATAAAACCTTCATGAAATATAAAAGCAGAATGTCTGCGACATGCATACTGACTAGATGGAATTACTACAGCAAAGTAGTGTGCTACTTTTTTGTGCTAAACAACAAAAAAACAATCCAGCTTTCAGCCAATCGGTATGAGTGTGGCATAACACTCATGTTTAATGTGCAATCCAGCCTCATGCCAGCTGTAAACGTTCTGTGTTTCTGTGTGTGCACAACTCCACCGTGGTCTCGCCTGTTTTTGCATATTAATATTCATGAGAGCCACAGCCTGACCCAGCTGGCTAATGTAGCTCCTCCCCTCAGTCTCCGCCAAGCTGGAGGAGTGAAGGCAGACAGTGGTTAATCCAAGCGAGCTCAGACCTGTATGTATGAATGCATGGCCAATTCTGTTGTTCAAAAACTCTGTTCTTCATAAAAAGGACCTACATATTCTGTGATAAAAACACCAGCAACTGTGCTCATGGGAACACAACCCTATTAAACACATGATACATCTGCCTCTATTAGCACACATTCCCACAGTGCTCCTTTTCTCTGAACACATCTTCAGTGCTAAGTGAGATACTGCTGTGCTGGATTACACTCAACATTTAGATATACTGCATGACTTTCACCTCACAGAAAACAACTTAAATGAAATGTAAAAACCTAAGAATTCCAAGAACGGTCATTTGTAACCTCTCTCCTGGATTAGAGTACAAGTAGTGCAGTGGTCAGGGCTCTGGAGAGCCACCAAAATAAATTAATATTTATAAATACTGGATTATCTTGGCACTACACTTTGTAGATATGAACTTAATTACATTTCCTTTTTAACTGCTAAAATGGGTTTTGCAGGAAGACACAATAAAAACTGCGCTAACGATCCACAACAGGTATACTTACTCTAGCTTGACTGTTGGCTTAGAGAAGAACTCGTTGTAGAGCTGGTGCTCGTCCTGACACACGTGGACCATGAAGGCACAACCACTGCGCACCTAAATAGCGACAGATGGACGTTAGAGGTTTATTTTTCTCAACTTGATTGACCCTAGTCCCAGAAACATTGCACCACTCATTCCAAATCCACATGGTTTGCTGGATATCCCCAATTAATCCATATGACACTCTGGTTATTTATCCACTGTTATGTTGCTTGTGTTTCTTATCCAGGCAGTGAAGGAACGGATATACGATGAGGTCAGAGGATGACAAGGTTTCTAATCAACATGCATTCAGTCCTAATCCATTCCGTCCTTAAACAATCACTCAATTTCTCCAGCCAGGCAATCAGATAATGAACAAGCCAGCAAGAGGGCGTCAAGACCAAGAAGAAGTTAAGGAAAATCTGAACGAAAACCACCACAGAGAACATGAGTCTACAATATATACTGTACTACCTGGTGCAATGTATTTGAAACCCAGCAATGAAGCACCAGATACTGAAGTAGACGGCATGATGAAACTGTAGCAGAGGAACTCAGACAGTGGGAACCATATAAGCCAATGTAAGAGTGAAGGCTCGTACCAGTGCACAGTGGTCCTTGTTATTCTGGCTGGTCAGGTCTGTAATGGTGGACGTTATGCTGGGACTGAGTAACTGCTCTCTCTGATCTAGGTAACACTGGTGAATTTCTCCTAATAGCTGCTGATACCTGAAAATAAAAAAAGGAAATAGAGGTGATTTATCCAGATGCCTCTTTCCCATTGTTGTCTTTTCCAAGAAAAGTGTAGCGGAAACAAAAGTGTCTTTTGCAATGGCTCGGTAATATACTGTACATCTTGAAAAGAAAAGGAACCCAATACCATGTAACATTGGATGCCGCATCAGGAAACATGTGCTGATTGATAGATGTACCAAAATGTAAAAAAACCACAGTTACCACAACCATAGTTATCTTTGTTTTATTTTTATTATTAAGAGGAACGAGTAAGCCCAATCTCAAATAAAAGTACAAACCCCATCTTACAGGGTCAACAGTCTTAATTGGCGATATGGCCAGCAGCCATATCACCCTGCAACTCACAACTGGCAACCCCCTGAAGCTAAACTGGTGTAAGCCTGGTCAGTACCTGGATGGAGACCTCCTGGAAAAAACTAAGGTTGCTGCTGAAAGAGGTGTTAGTGGGGCCAGCAAGTGGCGCTCACCCTGCGGTTCCACGTGGGTCCTAATGCCCCAGTATAGTGACGGGGACACTATACTGTAAACAGGCGCCGTCTTTCGGATGAGACGTAAAACCGAGGTCCTGACTCTCTGTGGTCATTAAAAATCCCAGGGCGTTTCTCGAAAAGAGTAGGGGTGTAACCCCG